AGACCTGAATCATGACATTGCTGTTATAAAAAGAACTATTTCAGATGCATTAAGAGGATTCCATTCATTAATCACAATTTTTCTCTTCCTTCATCTTTAAATTTTTGGAGACAGTTTGTTCAGGCAGTTTTGGCTGTAAAATAAAAGGGAAAACAACAATACAATTCTGTGTCTCCTAAAATATTCTCTGGCTTTTTTTTCCTATGAAACATGACACAATCCTCGCGGGCAGAATGGCTGCACACAGTGCACATGTATTTTGTACAAGACAGCATGTAACACCGTTAGCACTTGAAATGGCATGAAATCTGGACAAAACACACCAGTGGCTTGGAAAAGCAACATGAGGTATTTCACAAATGCAACTAAGATACCTAACAAATACAACAAGAACCACATTGTTATGCTGTCTGGTCCAGGAAGCAATGCTTTTATCACATGTTGTTAATAGGAGCCTTAGCTGTGCTTGATCACTTCCCAAATAAGCTGTTTAAACACAAAGCATTAGACTAGAATGCTGAGCAGTTTTGCAGAGGAAAGGGGTTAACAATTCAGAGTATTAAACCCTGTTTGATCCGCTGAGAAATTCAATGCAGCAAGAGCATGATTTTACTTAATAGCGTGTCGGGAGAGGAGGTTGCCAGAGGTAGGATGTTTTCCTCCTGGCTGAGGTTAGGCTGCCGGAGCTGGCCCATCTGCCATTACATGGAGTCCTGCCATTCCCCTTCCCCATGGTCCCACTCCCTTTTGCTGTGTGTTTGCACATGTGTGTGTATTCACATCTGAGCTCCCCTTTCTTTCCTGGAAGCTGCTGTAGGTGTGTTGTAGATGCATTTTTGGAAGCCTCCCAAGGCACAGATACTCCCGGCCCACAAGAAGGTGCCTCATTCTCCAGGTGGAGGCCTCCCAGCTTAGGTACCAGTAATTACTGAAGAGAAGCAGAGTTTTTCCCTAGTGTGCTGACGCACAGACACATTCACTGCTGTGGGTGCCCCTGAGGGCTGGCTGTTGAAACCACGAGTACAAGGGAGCCATACAGACAGTGTTTTCCTTTTGTGCATACTCTGAATATCACAGATCCATTTTGTGCCTCCTTGCAAAGCACTAGAGACATGACTTGGAGAAGAATCACGGAATCATAGAATAGTTAGGGTTGGAAACGACCTTGAGATCATCCAGTTCCAGCCCCCTGCCATGTGCAGGGACACCTCACACTAGACAATGTCACCCAAGAGTCCATCCAGCCCTGCCTTGAACACTGCCAGGGATGGAGCATTTATCAGTTCTTTGGGCAGCCTGTTCCAGCGCCTCACTACCCTCACAGTAAAGAACTTCTGCCTTATGTCTAACCTGAACTTCCCCTTTAAGTTTTAATCCATTACCTCTCCTCCTATCACTACAGTTCCTAATGAACAGTCCATCCCCAGCATCCCTATAGCCCCCTTCAGATACTGGAAGGCTGCTATGAGTTATCCACGCAGCCTTCCCTTCTCCAGGCTGAACAGCCCCAGCTTCCTCAGCCTGTCTTCATATAGGAGGTGCTCCAGTCCCCTGACCATCCTTGTGGCCCTCCTCTGGACTTGTTCCAACAGTTCCATGTCCTTTTTATGCTGAGGACACCAGAACTGCACACAATACTCCAAGTGAGGTCTCACAAGAGCAGAGGGGCAGGATCACCTCCTTCGACCTGCTGGACACACTCCTTTTGATGCAGCCCAGGATATGGTTGGTTTCTGGGCTGTGAGTGCACACTGAAGCTGGCTTGTGTTCAGTTTCTCATTGACCAACACCCCCAAGTCCTTCTCCTCAGGGCTGCTCTGAGAAGGATGGAAAATTTGTCAAAACGTTGCCACTTTAACAGAAAGCTGGTCGAGTTCCATTACTTTTAATAGAATGTACCTTTCTTTTACTGCTGCTAATGCAGAAAGCAGCTGATCATATTCTGTGGGGCTCACATTATTTTTCTAATACTTTGTCTTTGGAACAAACCAGAGCATATTGCATGTCAAAAATGGTGAGGATTTTATGGAGGAAGACAAGCCATGGATTCCCAAGGATTCTTTTTGCTTCCTCCAGACCTCTGAGAGAAGTTGAGTGCTATACTATACCAGCAGACACATAGGTGCTTCTTAAAAACACAAAGGATTGTCATTTGTCACTTTAAAGTGCATTCAGTATGCACTTTGGGTTGTTAGACCATTTCGTCATGCGCTTGTGCAACACCTCATCCACAGTTGCAGCTCTTTGCTGTAATACAAACAGTGATGATAAATTAATGTCTGTCTTGGCAATATTGCTACAGTATCCAATTATGAGAAAGTGTTTTCATTAGAGAAAAGAAATCAAATGGCAGATTCCACTGTCTCTCACCCTTCCTGTCTGTGAACAAGCTAGTCCTTGTTGTAAACCTCATATAACTTGACATGGGGGAGGAAGCATTGTGGAAGCCCCCCCCTAAAATAAAGGTAGCTCTTAAGTAGTTATTTCTTGGGATCTTTTCTAGTAGAGTTAACTATTTCAAAAGTAGAAGAAAAGGGTTCCTAGAAAAACAAATCAGTAATTTCACAAGTAGCAAGAGCCTGAGCAGGCAGAGGTGTAATGCGTTGCAAACATTATTCTTCTTTTGAACCCAAAATTGCTGGCACAGAAGTAACTGTATGTTGTTGTTCACCTTCTGAAGTCTGGGACTGCCTCCCTATGTGATACAGAGTAGACAGCCAGAATCCCTGGATAACCAGCTTCTATAGCTGTGCTCTCGCAAGGCAAACACTGATGCCTTGGGCTGATCACATAACACTGTGGCTGAGAGCAAGGAGATGACTGGCATTACTCAGAAGTACCTTACCAAGAATAAACATCCATGGAGCCACTGCTCTCCAGAGCTGCTCTCAAGGGCTCACTGAGTTTCCTGGAGACACAAAAATTGACTGCCAAGTAGCACTCTTGGCATCCAGGAGTGGTTGCATTGGTACTCTCTCTCAGAGAAGACCACGTGCTACCTTTAGGCTGGCAAAGCTTCTAGGCATGTGTTTCTGCCGATGCTACAGAGAGCCATGGAAATCTGTGGCTGGCAAAGGTTAATAATGTTGCTTCATTAGTTTTCATGTCATATATATGTCAGGATACGGTCCTGAATGCACACACTAATTTTGTTCAGTGCCCTTATAACCTTAGAGAGAATGAAGCAGGGAGCCTTTGCAAGAAGCATTATTTGACATCGGCAAGCCTGTAGGATAGAGGCAGAGAGCTGAGAGAAATGAAAGGTGTCCCACATAATGTGTAGAAACTGCTAAGTTATAGACAGCAGAGGGATAGCCAAGACAGCAGGATGCATGGAGTGCTTACAGACGAGTGGAGGAGTGAAGACAGCAGGGTAGCCATACTTCCTCTTTATATCTCCCAGCTGCTGCTCCGTGGGCAAGCTCAGCTCTCAGAACACGAAGTCTGCATGACAGAACAGCAGTTGGGAGATACAAAGGCAGGGATTTGAATGCAGTGTGTATTTTAAAACATGAAAAGACTGCAAGAGTCCAATCCCTCCTTGTCCTTTCCCCTGCCCAGGCTACCTTCAGTTCCATTAATCTCAAGGGAAAACTGAATTGGCCTTTGAGCTAGGGCTTTCCTCTCTGGTTACCGTGCTTGGACTAAGCAGTGCAGGCTAACACACAGACGCTGGAGCTGTGCATTAAAGGCACTCCCATCCCCAGCTGGAGGATGCTATGTTAAGGGACTGCCACCTGGCAGCATCTTCAAGGAACTGCAAAAAAGCTAATGAGAGACCGAAGCTGGTGAGCATCAGCCTCCTGTGAGGCTTGTGGGTGTAATCACCTTATCAAGGAGTTTCCAGCTCAGTTAAAAAGTTGCTTTTCCTTTCAGAATAATCCCACTGTTTTCCCTCTCTTAATTCAAATTGTCTGAGGAAGCCTGAGCTGGTTGTGCTCTGTGCTCTGAAAGCTAAGCTCTTGCTTTGTGAAGATACACCCAGGGAGGAAGATCCCACCTTGTCCCCACTCTCCTGGACAGCAGAGAAGACCAAAGGTGAAAACTTCACCGAAGAGTGTTATGAGATGAAAAGAACAATAAAATAATGTCACTTGGTCAAGACCTGGTAACCCAAATTCTTTCACTTTGAAGTCTTCAGTACAGTCCCCTTGCCCGTGCTATCCTTTCCTTTTTTCTGTGTTTTGACAGGCTGGCTGATGAAACGATCATCTCCTTAAATACATGCTCTGGATTTTCCCCCAGAAAAGTCTTCTTTCAGCCCGTTTGCCTCATGCTTTCTAAAACAGTCAACTTTGAAAAGGAGCACACAGCAAGCAGCAATTTCCACAGCCTTTCGGTACACTTCAGTTTTCCTGCCCTTTGGGAATTGTCCTCTGCTGCCCAATATCACAGGTAACAAACTTCCAAACTTTTATTTGTAAAGAGACACCTGCATGTACAAGACAAATCTAAGATTTACCTGATTCTGAGAGCCTTTTACCAATAGCCGCTCTGTTTAGCAGGTGAAGGGCCCTTGACTAGTGAATGAACTCCAATCATTACTATTAGTAGTAGTAAGCTTGGCTTATCTCTTCATAATTTACGTACAAATTTGCATACAGAGAAAAGCCCAAGAGAGATGGAAAGCTGGAGAGGTTGAGTCCCTTTTCATTTTTTGGAGCCAACACAAACAGCAGGCTAAGGTCCTGACCCACATCACTGACACACCTTCAGCGGTGACCTTTAGGACCATTGCTAGATGTGACAGTTCAACTAAGCTTGGTCATATTTTGAGGCTATGAAGAAGTTTGCCAATGAGTATCAAATGAACATTTTTTTCAAGAAAGATATGAGAAAAGCCTACTCTGGCATTTATGCAAGTCACCAGACACTGACCTGGGGCCAGAGTTTGTGACCTAGATAAACACCTACCCTGCATATGCCCTGTGCTTCCCAGATCCCTCTTATCCCCCAACCCTGTGGAGCTGAGTTCAGCAGGGGGGACCGTGATAACTCACCACTCTGTGTGCGCATCATCAATCACTAGGAGGATCTTGGGTTTCTGTGCCACAGGAGGTGTGGGGCTGGCTGAGTGATCAATCAGTCCTGCAGCCGCTTGAGTGGTTTGCTTCATGGCACTGGAGATGGAGCTGAAGATGCTGGCGCCAGTAGAGGAGGAGTGCGTGGGCTGCGGTGGCTGAGGATGCTTTCTCTCCATAGCAGGAGAAACCGGGGAGCTCGTGGAGCTGTCAGGGCGCTGCAAGTCCATCATGTACCCATTGGGCAAATTTGCCACGAAACTACTGTCCGAGAGACGCCGCCGGAGGAAATTCATTGTTGCAGCGTTGTGTGGAAACCTTCTCAGCAAGAGTAGGGCTGAACAACAGTGTCACCAGTCCTGGGGAATGTTTCTGTGTGTGTAGGTACCTCCTTGCAGTCCAGCCAGACAGGCTTTCCCCCTTGAAATCCTGGTGGAGATATATACCTCAGTTTTTCAGCTGTATTTTCTTTCTCTCCTGTGGGAAGAGAATTAAAAACATGTATGTGCATACATACTGTCAACATGAAATAAGAAAAACTCTTTTGGCTTTTAAATAGGTACCTAAGTCAACAATGAGACAAAAAGGGACTACTGGTTTCTATCCAGTATGCTACACTGATACAGCCAAACAGATAAGTTTGTTTCATGGCTCCCCCTCATCCCAGAATTTTCCTGGTTGAGGCTGCTTAGGTGCTACCAATTTTATAACTGCTCATTATGGACAAAGAAGAATTGCTCACTCTAAATGTTAATTTTCAAAAAAGAGACGGCTTATTTCTGGTATTTTGTGTGTTGGAAATAGCACATGCTTGTTACAGCATAGCCAGCAAATGACCAAAGGATAAAAAGTTGTATAATCTTTAGCTGGTTTGTAAGCAAGGCCGTGAACTTAAGAAAGGTCCTAAATTCAAATACAATGTAGAAAATAAATAGCAGAAAAATACACATCTTGATCAATTTCAGTGGCAGCTACCCGAAGAAGTGATACATGCTCCATCCTTGGCAGTGTTCAAGGCCAGGTTGGACAGAGCCTTGGGTGACATGGGCTAGAGTGAGGTGTCCCTTCCCATGGCAGGGGATTGGATGATCTTAAGGTCCTTTCCAACCCAAAACTGTCTGTGATTCTACGATTCTTCTTGTTACTGTCCCGCTACTCTCTGCACTCAAATAGACTTGGACTGAAGTGCCTGCTGCTGGTTGCTAACACAGCAGACTAGCTGATTTTACAAATTCACTTGTAGGATTTTTGCAGGTACATGAAACTAGGAGTTTGTCCAATCTTCTCATACCTTTTCTTCTGTTGTTGAGTTTTTTGTTTTGTGTTAAGAAGAATGGTCTCTTACTTGCTCATCTTTTCCAGTGAGAAAATGAGCAGTGTGAAATATAACTAGCTGGCTCTATTCACTTGACCATAGTATGATGACTTTGTTTTCACACAGAACTCTAAGTTTTTCAGCAGTTAAATCATCTCACAGTTAGGAGTTACTTTTAAAACAATTATTCACTTGAAGGCACTGCCCAGAAATGAGATTTCCACAGTAATTCCTCAAGACCTTTTATCTTCTGAGACAACCTTTGAGTCTTGACCATGGGCTGGTTAGCGAGATTGAAGGGAAAAAGCCCACAACACACATTGCTGGTAAAACATCCATGTTTTTCAGGACGGACATATCTGCAGCAACAAAAGTGACAGTTATCCCATGCATCAAGTAGGATGAGTCACATGAATTCCTAGCATCATCGTCAATGACCCCCTTCAAGTCATTTTGAAGGAGCCCCCTACAAACACTGGAGCTCCTTGCCTTCATCTGCCTGGTCTGGCCTCCCTCACTGCTCACACTCATGTCCTAGTGTCCGATTGCCTCCCGATGTTTTTTTCCCAGTTGGTCCAAGAGAGCTCGGCATCTCCAAATCTCTCTCCTGGAGCTGTGGCTGAGAGCTCATGGTGCAATCAAACAGCTTTCTTAAAATAAGCTGCGATTTTTTTTCACCTATACGGATTTACAAGGCTTTAGAGATGAAGTATTCAGACTTGCCTGTGTTCATACACCTCTTAGCCCCCAGAGCCTTAGGGAAGCTTGGATGGGCCTGCTGGGAGTCAGTGAGGTACGAAAAGGTCCTTGGCACATGTTCACCAAATCAACCATCACCACCCTGACCCCATAGGCATGGGATCTCTCTGGAGCAGAGGGCTCCCTGCTGAAGCTGCTGACTTTGTATTATTAGAGCAATTTTCTTTTGATTTCTCAGCCCTGGCAATGCAAGTCCTCTGACTTTGCCAGACCCTGGAGGTAGTCTTTTCCCAGGGAATAGCTCAGGAAATCTTTAATGACTTCCTGCCACATTTACAGTTGATAACGTATCTCAGGGCATTGTGCTGACTTCCCGCCTGGTCCTGGCGCGCCCTGTGGCTGCACAACATCAGCAAACGCATACGGTGGTGAGCACTTCAGCAGCGCAGACTGTTTATGCAGCAGTTGTTCCAAAAAGCAAGTAACATACAGTATCCATGAATTATGAGCTAGCTACTTGATTGTACACAGCCACCCAGCACTTGGCCTGCTCATGTCCTGCCTCAATAACTGTGAGTGCCAGCATAGAGCCACCCACTGTTACCTGCCTGGGTTGAACAGAGTGGTAGAGCCTACAAAGACTCTGGGGGATTTATATGCTATAGGCTGTATAAATATGCACTGGGATGTCCTCTACTCAGGAAACTGTATTTTCTACCCTGTATGCCACAAATAAGAAAAATCCTCATTCTTTTAATGACAGTCCACTCAAGAATAGGTCCAGTTAAGAGGAGCATCCCAGAGATCTGTCTACCGTTAGAGGGGCTTCAAATGAGTACCCCGTTACTGACCTTCTCTTGGAGGACCTTGACATTAACTGTCAAGAGGTGGGATGTAATTTTGACACCAGTCTCAGGAGAATCTGTTTAGGACGAGACGCCTGCCCTTTGTATGCTTTGCACAACATAGCAGAGCTGCCGGTTCCTGCTGTGACAGCTCTCAGCCACGGGAGGGAACCTGGCCTCAGCCATACAAGCTGGACAAGGCTCTTTTTCAGGCCAGCATCCTCGGGATAGGGTTCACCAGTTGTGTTCACTTAAAAGTGATTTTCTCCCACTGCCAGGTGCTTGCATTGCTGCTTCCTTCTGTGCGAGATTTGCACTCTACAAAAGCACATGGGCTCCTAGTAAAGCACTAGCAAGTAAAGCAACAGGCTAATGCTCTGCCCTGCACTGAAGGAAGAAGGGCACGGAGGCATCTGGCATATGGTGTCCCAGGGCTGGGAAGGTTCAGGGTACCCTGTGAAGTGTACACAGGTATTTTACAACACAGGTTTCTTTACAATCATAATTATTGCAAGGCCATGACCACTTGTCTCCTGGACAGTAATATTTACAGTGACCCATCATTCTCTTCCACCAGGGGTTTGGTAGTGGAAGATGTTGCCCAGGAAACACTGGGAGCTGGCAAAATTCTCCTGTCCAAAATTTGGGATGCTGCACTGAGGCTGGCCTTTCCCTCTACTGGCTGGCACTGCCCCTGCTTGCTGCGAAGACTTGGGCTGGGTGCTGCTGGCTTGTGAAAGGAGATAAAAACTAAGCAGCTGATGTCAGGGGGAAATCTCCATCCAGCAAAGCATTCAGAGGCTAAATTCAAACAGGATGGCACTGCTGCAGCAGAGTGTAATGACTGGTTCCACTCTGGGATGGGGGATGGCAAACCTACCAGGAGTGTTGACTTTGGATCTGTCAAAGTGGTGACAGAGACTGCCCTCCTCTTGTTATTTACATTTTTCTGATGAGCTGGGTAATGTAATTAAAATAGACTTTCCGTTTTTGAGTGAAGCTGTTGGTCGCTTCACTGTATTGATTTATTGATAGCCATTAGTGCTGCCACAGAGGCCTTCTCCGCAATGGGAGCAGTGTAAGCTGTCAGTGGATTCCTCTGCTTACTGAAAAACCTCATGTTCTCTTTCTGTATCATGCACACTTGCTGTTATTTAACTTTCAGCAGTAGGCATTTTCATATAGGTACAGGCTGAGTCGGTACCTAATTTTCCTGCTGCTTAAAACTCCCTGTGGACATCCTGAGTGCTCAGCATGTCAGGCCAAATCTGGCTCTGTGCAGTTTTCACAGCATGCAGCTCTCACAGAGAACAACATCCACCTGGTGTATTCACAGATCCTATGCTAGGACGCAACTGGGGCTGTAACTTCAATAAAGCCAGGACCTCCTTCAGAAGTAAGACAAATCTGCTAAGTGGTATTTTGTCACTCCAGAGCCAACAGGTATGGGAACAGCTGGCTACACACCATCAAGTTGCACCTTGCCTCTGTGTACAGTAGTGTCTTCATATGGCTCACATGGAGACAAGTTGCCTACTTAATGCTATGCCAGGCATAAACGCACCCTTAGGAAGGCCTATAGCCCTCCACATCTGTATACAGCACACAGGTTACTTCCAGGTGAGGCACCAGGTCTTACTGTGTTCCTCAAACTGCTATACCGCAGCTGCCTCCCACGAGGCAGGAGTAACCTGCTGCTGTGTCATACATCTGCTCACGAAAGCCAGCAGGGAAAACAGGGGGATCTGGGCCATGGAGCTGCAGGTCAAGGAACTGGGCTATATTTCAGGGTGGGGAAATAATAAATGAGGCATAGGAGAATGAGTAAGTCCTGAGGAAAGAAAGCAGGAGAGAGGGAGAGAGGAGGAGGAGGAGGAGAAGGTACAAGCAGAAAGGCAGGAAGTAGGCAGGAGTCAGCTTAACCAAAAGATGGTGCAGGAATATGCAGAGATGCCAACAATGAGAGCACAGTCAGGGACTCAGAAGGAAACAATGTGAGCAGCTAAGTGAAGCAAGCAGAAGGTCAATTAGATCTGACCTTGAAAACAACAGCAAAGAGGCTGGCACCAGCAGCCCCTTACTATCACGCAGTTAAACTTCCTGGCTGATATTTTTGGAGGGGCAATGAAGGGTAAGCAATCTGCTCCCTCAGCACGTTGACAGCAGCCAGGCACCTACCTGCTTTTTCTCAAGGATGTACTCCACAGAGATGCAAGTTATCTCAGAAAACCTGTTGACATGTGTTAGAAAACAAGAACAAAACGTTCACTTAAACCTCTTGTGGGGCTGCTTTCTAACGTGCGGTAGCATCTACAGGGAACCGAACTCAATTGGCTGATGTCTGTTAACTGTGCTTAGATTTCCCTGGAGCTTGTTATCTATGCTGTCATGTAATGAACTGACATGACTATACCAGCCTGCATCTGATTCCTGCTCTTAAGAGCCTCAATGGAGCAAATCTGGAGGTAGCAACATGAAAAACCAATGCGGAGAGATTATCCTCCCACCTCACCATAAGGGACTGCACACTTATTTCTGACCCTATGGTGGATGGGAAGATGAGGAGGCCTTCGCTTGGTAACAGCCACTTACTGATATCCCTCACCTACATTTTGCAG